TTTTTATTCCCTGATGTCACTATTGCTTCTTTTGTCAATACCTTAAGTCAATGCCCTCTGATTTTCAATCTATCATTGAAACATTTCCTTTATTTATCTACTAAATCCAGACACTCAAAACTCTCCTTAATCTTCTATTCTTCAAGGAGTTCAGCCCCAGCCTGTCCACCTCTATCCACATAACTGAAGTTTCTAAATCCTAGACCAGTTTTTGTGAATCATTTCTGCACATCCACTAATGTCTTTTACGTCCTTCCTCAAGTGAGGTGCCTAGAAATGGAAGCAATATTCCAGTTGAGGCCGACCAGTGTTTTATACAGATTTTTCAAAACATTCTTGTTTTTGTGTTCTATTTATCAAGCTCAGGATCCTGTAGGCTTTATCACTCTTGCTATCTTCAATGGTTTGTGCACATTCACCCACCAGGTCTCTCAGCTCCTACACCCCTTTAGAATTTTATGATATAGGAATGTGCCCACATGACCCATCCAAGAAGTATAACAGTAACAAGAGGTTTTAAGGTCTTATTCCATGGAAGTTGAGTGATGCAATCAACATGAAGATTACAGCCACGCTAATTATTGCTCTATTCTTTTTATATATTCCTATTATTTGTTGACTTTTAGCCTTTCCCACTGAGTAGCTATTGTTTGGGGTCAGTTCACTACTCATAGCAATGTCTTCCTTTCCTTGTTGCTTTTTACCTCCATTCAAATGGACTCTACATAATCTGAGCCTAGATCATCTTTCACAACTGTCCTCATCTCATTTCTTATTAAAAGAGCTACCCCACCAACTTTTCTATCCCCCCTGTCTCTCCAAAAAAGTCAAATATTCTTGAATGTTAATCCTGGTCTCCTTGTAACCCTGTTTCCTAATAGCTATGAGATCATATTCATTTATCTTGATTTGCGCCATCAGTTTCTCTGCCTTATTCTGAATGCTTTGAGCATTAAGATACAAAGCTTTCAAGTTTGTTCTCTTATGGAGTTTCCTTACAATTTCATGATTCCTTGATACAATATGACAATCACACATTCTGTCCCTTTTTCATTTTCTGGTAACAATCAACCCCATCATTGACTTGCAATCTTACTTCTCCTGTACCTCTGGGCTTTTAAATTTTCCATGCAACTGACCAATGACTCACCACTATACCCCCACACCCACTTCTAAAAATTTAAAGTTATACCTACAGCCCTACACAACTCTGGTCCCAACAAGATTCAGGTGGAGTCTATCTCATCGAAACAGCTCCCTCTTTCCCCAGTACTGATACCAATGTCCCATGATTTCAAACCCATTTCTCCCACACCAATCTTTGAGCCACGATCTCTGTAATCTTGTTGATCCTGCGCCAATTAACTTGTGCCTCAGGTAGTATTCCAGAGATTATTAACTTTTGATTCTACTTTTTAATTTAGCTCTTAGTTGCTCATATTCCCTTAGTTGAACCTCTTTCCTCTTTCTACGTATATTGCTGGTACCTACGTGTACCATGACAACTGGATCTTTCCCTTCCCACTCCAAGTTCCTCTGTAGCTCAGATGAGAGATCCTGAACCTGGGCACCAAGCAGGCAATACAGCCTTTGGTACTCTCTATCCACACAGAACAGTGTCCATTCACTTGACTATACGATCCCCTATTACAACTACATTTCTCTTTTCTACCCCCTCTTCAATGGCTCCCTGCACCAGTGCTATGGGCTCATTTCCTTCCAGGCCCGCTCTCATCCACAGAGGGATAAAGAATCTCAAACCAGTCAGATGAGCTCAAGAGCTGAGGCTCCTTCAGCGCTATCTCCTGGATCCCTCTACCTGCCTTGCTGGTAGTCACACCCTCCTGACTCTGACCACTGACCAAATTTGAGATAGTTAATCTCAGTGGCGTGATGGCCTCCTAAAACACAGCATCAAGGTAACTTTCCCCCTCCCTGATGTGTTGCAGTGTTGAAAGCTCAGAGTCAGGCTCATCAACTTTGAGCCAGAATTCCTCAAGCAACCAGCACTTGCTATAGACGTGGTCACTATGAACCACAATGGAGTCCAGCAGTTCCTGCACCATACAGGTACATACATTGTCTGTCCTGCATCTGTATTTTATTTACTTAGTTTTTAAATAGTTTTTAAAAACATTCCTACTGGTCTTGTTGGTAATCTGTAAATATTGCTCTTATTTACTTTCAATCTGAACATAACCTATAATAAATAGTCAAATAAGCAGCTATTACCAACCAATGAACCTACAGCTTTCCTGTGATGTCTGTCTTTCTTTTATGCTGGGCCCTGATTCTGGGCTTCAATTTGTCCTGTTAAAAAGACCTTACAAACTATGAGCCAAAAAAGCAAGCAAAAAGCACCTCTTCCGCCTGCCCCAAATTCCCACACTGCCTCCAAAGTCTCCGAATTATATACTGACTTGGGCCATGTCTCACTCTGGATCTGATCTCTCCTTCCTGACTGTGTGAAGCTTACTGATCCAAATTCAAATTTCCCCACCTGCCATGGTAGGATTTGAACCCATATACTATCGCATATTTTCTATGTTGAACTTCATTTGCGAATTATTTGCTCATACTGTAAGGTTATTAATGTCATCCCATAAGTTGTTGAGTCCTGCTCAGTATTGTCTATTGGCTATAATGTTGGCAGCTACCCAGCAATGTGGAAAACTATTCAGGTATGTTCTGTCCACAAAAAGCAGGGTAAATAAAACTTTGCCAACTACTGTCCTATCAATCTAGACTCAGTAATCAGCAAAGTGATGGAACAAGTTTGTTGACAGTGCTATCAAATGGCACTTGCTCAGTCACAGCCTGCTCACTGACACTCAGTTTGGGTTCCCCGAGGGCTACTCAGCTTCTGACATGTTTTCAGCTTTTGATCCAAAGATGACCAAAAGATCTGAATTCCAGAGGTGAGGTGGGAGCAACTGCCTTTCACATCAAGGCAGCATTTGACTGAATATAGCATGAGGAACCTTAGCAAAACCAGAGTTAATGGAAATCAGAACAAAAAAACTCTTCATTGTTAGAGGCATACCAAGCATAAAAGGAAAATGATTCTGATTGTTGGAAGTCAACCATCCCAGTCCCAGGACAACACTGTAGGAGCTCCTCAGGGGAGTCCTCAATGTTCAACCATTTTCAGCCCCTTCATCTATAACCTTCCCTCCATCAATAATTCAGAAGCAGGGAAGTTCAGTAATTATTGTAGCAGCTCATATCCATATGAAGAAAGACTAGACAACATTGAACCTTGGTTGATATGGGGCAAGTAAAAGTCGTACCACAGAAATGCTGAGCAATGGCCATCTCAAACAAGAGAGAATTTAGCCATCTTCCTTTGACATCCAATGGCACAACTATCTCTGTAAATCCCACTATCAAATGCACCTGGGCATTACTATTGACCAGAAACTGAACTCGACCAGTCAAAGAAGTAATCTGGCTGCAACTGTTGGTCAGAGACGAGAAGTTCTATGGTGTGTAACTCACCTCCTGTCTCCCCATGCCACACCACCATCTACAAGATACAAATCAGGAGTGTGATGAAATACTCTCTTGCCTGGATGGCTGCAATTCCAAATTCTTGGCAACACCCAGGACCCAGCCCACTCGATTGATACCCACTTGACCTCCTTCAACATTCACTCTCTTCACTATTTACACAGTGACAGCAGTAATACTATCCCCAAAGACGCACGGTAACAATTCCACCCACCCAATTTCTTTCTCAACATCTTCCAAAGTCACAACCAGTGCCACCTGGAAGGATAAGAGCAACACAGGCAAGCGAACACCACCACCTGTAGGTTCCCATCCAAGCAAACCTCTGAACTTGCAACTATATCACCTTTTCATCACTGTCGCTGGGTCAAAATCCACAAACTCTCTAATAGCACTGTGTGTGTATCTAAGCCCAATGGACTGAAGTGGTTCAAGAAAGAAACCCACTATTACATTCTCAAGGGCAATTATAGATGGGAAATAAATGTTGGCTAGGCAGCAATGCCTAAATCCCATAAACAAATTTTAAAAATCATCATCCCAATTTGCTCTCATCAGCATATTTTGAAATTGTCCTTTTGATTCCCAAGTTCAATTTATCAAAGAAAATTATGTACAGAAGTAGTCCTTATCTTGATATTTATGGAATGCCATCCACCTTTTTGGCCTAACTACTGACACCCTATTTTTCCATTCTGCTCTCTGATTTGAACCCGGATATCATCAATCCATTCTGCATCATGTCCCTGACTCCACGTTCTCTGACTTATTTGTTAATCTTTTTTGTGGTACTAATCTGACCTTTTAAAAATCAAATTAATAGCATCTACTCAATTATCTTTATCTATTCGGTTTCCTCAAAAATTCCAACTGGTTCAGTCATAAAACATTATCCCTTTCAAAATGTAGGTATTATAATATTTTTCATTCCTAAATTTTTTTCTAGAACTCTTATAATTGGTGGAAAGGTAATTTTTGAAACCAGATTTAATTATATTTCAGTGTAAAAAGAAACCTTTCCCATAAAAACATAATTTCAAATGATCACATGCTTCCTATGAACATTTTCTTTCCTATGATACAAATGGATCAGTCAGAATTTCTAATTTGTGAACTGGACATACAATCTCTTCAGTTACTTCATTCTCCAACACATTGGATAAATTTCACATAAAATGAATTGCCATTGAGCCTCTTCATAAATCATTGTTGATAAATGTTCACCACACTGTTGAAATGCTTTCACACTAATGAGATACACAGATGCATTACAGCTAGAGCCTTACAACTACCCTGTTGCAGAGTAAGACAATATTACATATCAATTATCTGGTTTTTCTTCAAAATTAATTATTCACATTCCTTCATTTTGTAATGAATCACATAATATTTCGACAATGTGTAGCTTCACCTAAAATTCTAAAAAAATGAGTGAAACTAAAAGTCTTTTTCTTCTCTGGAATACAAATAATTAGGCATACAATACACACCTTACTTGTTGTTTGTGCTGTTTTTCTGTTCTCAGGAGATTTTCTGAAAGTTGTTGCAAATGCGATTTTCTTCTTAATTTCAATGGGGTACTGGAAACCTTTGTAAAATAAGATGTATTCTGATGAGTGGTCACACCCTGAAACCTTAACCCATGTTTTTCTTTCAGATTCCAGTTAACATGTTGTCATATTTCCAGCATTTAAAAATAAATCCTCAAATTAAATATTCTGGTGAGTATAAATTTCAGATTCAATAACTACTGTGAAGATTTGCAGTGTTTTTTTGAAACTTTTGATGAAAGTAAAAAAAAAATTATCATTAGTGCAAAGCACAAAGGAGTAGTGTACAAAGAACTCTGAGATCCTGATTTAAATTTCAGACTCGAGGCATGGTTATTTCTGAATTTACCACTGAATTGTGGATTAGCACTGTTGGCAAGAGAGTGAGTGTGGCATTTAGTGAAGGTTAGGTTTTAAGCAAAGAAAATTCACCATAGCCTGTGCTTCCTAAACTCTTGCATACTGCTACAATACTCGTGAAAACTACAGAGGGAGACTGCAGAAGTAGATGCAGAGTGGGACTCCAGAAATCCCGGTGAAGCATAACTAAATCACCAATAAGGCATAACAATGTTATAACAATGCAACTTGGTGGTAATAACAGTTTCTATGCAACCATCAAAAGGAATTACATCACAATGACAGTGACTTTATGGAGCAATCTGAACTGATTTTTCTAGTGCTATAAAATAAATCATTTTTCAAAAATGTGTCATCAAAATCACAAATAGCATGTAAAATAGGACAAGAACAGACCACTATTATTTTTACAGTTCTTATATAATGAATAAAAGAAAAGATTACAGGCAAAGAGTATGCATACAACAAAAGTTGCTATTTGGTATTAAATTGAATTTGTTGACTTCTTAGATAAACTACAATACACCACTGATGCACCAGACCATCCAATGGAGTGGTTGCATCAATAATGATGACAAACATTGATTAACATCACTAAGTATCTATTAATATCCAATTTAAGATAAGCAGCAGCAAAGCTTTAGTCTTAGAGAAAGACACATTTTAGTTTAATAGATAACCGTTGCTGGAAGTGATTAAAAGAAGTGATATTTATTTGTTAAAATACAGATGCAAAAAATAAAAGTAGGAATGTATAAATGATACACATAAAGATGAAAGCAACACTAGTCTTGTTATCGTTACACATGTACTACTTGAAGATTTTCTTTTCAAAGTGAAGGAATTGAAATCATCAACTCACAATTCAATGGCTACAACAAATTCTGTACTTGAATAATTATACTACGTACACAATAGGTAGAACAGGCTTTGGAAGAGACAAAGTGAAACAAACAGATTTCTTGATCTTCACTATTTCTCTAGTTAGGACAGTTGCAGATTGCCTGAACACTTTTGTCAAAATGGTGGTTAACTGCTTAAGGATAACCTTTCTCTTCATGCTCACTTTGCTGAGAACTGAAGGGTCCAGACCCGAAATGTCAACTTTCCTGCTCCTCTGATGCTGCCTGGCCTGCTGTGTTCATCCAGCTCTACACCTTGTTATCTCTCATTGAGGCTGCTTCTCAGAGTACTTCCTAGAAATTCTGACAAAATGGTGCCTTCCAGAATTCTCATACAGATCAAAACTTAATATAGCTGCTATGTTGGTTTGATGGAAATATTGTCCTATAAAAAGTCAATTGTACTGAATATTTTGTGGTTATTTCTAATCAGCAATTCTTTTTCTCAGATGCTCTGACTATTCACATATTTAGAAAAACTCATTGTGTTGTCCGAAAGTTAATTGAATTCTAAATGTTTCTTTTTGTGATTGCTCACATCTCAGTGTGTCTGCGTTAATTTGGCTGCAAAGAATCAACAAAAGGAGAGACATAACTGCTGTAAGTCACTTTGCAGGATTCAGTGTCAATTTTTGCAGAAGGATTAGCCCTTTAAGGCCAACACATCAGGGCAAAAGATAAGGCCAAAGAATTCACAGCAACCTTCAGCTGAAAGTACCAAGGAGATAATCCATCTCTACTTCCTTCAGTGGTCCCCATCATTACAGATACCAGTCTTCAGCAAATTCGGTTCACTCTATGTGATATCAAGAAATCATTGGAGACACTGGATGCTGGAAAGGCTATGGGCCCTGACAATAGTGAGCAACAGTACTGAAGACAACAAGGTGCAGGGCTGGATGAACACAGCAGGCCAAGCAGCATCATAGGAGCAGAGAGGCTGATGTTTCGGGCCTAGACCCTTCATCAGAAAAGCTGTACAGAAAAACAGTACTGAAGACTTGTTCTCCCCTAGCCAAGCTCTTCCAGTATAGTTACAACAACTGGCATCTACCCAACAATGTGGAAAATTGCCCAGGTATGTCCTGTACACAAAACTCAGGACAAATCCAACTGAGTCAATTACCACCCCATCAGTCTACTCTCGATCATCAGTAAAGTGACGGAAGGTGTCATCAACAGTGCTAACAAACAATACCTGTTCAGCAATAACCTGCTCAATGACGTCCAGTTTGGGTTCTGCCAGGGCCATTCAGTTCCTGACCACATTACAACCTTGGCTCAAACATGGACAAAAGAGCTGAATTCCAGAGGTAAGGTCAGAATGACAGCCCTTGATATCAAGACTGGATTTGACCAAGTGCAGCATCAGGGAGGCCTAGCAAAACTATGAATCAATGGGTGTCGGGGGTAAACTCTTCACTGGTTGGAATCATACCTGGCACATAGAAAGATAGTGGTGTTTGTTGGAGGTCAGTCATCTCAAATCAAGTACATTTCCTGCAGATTACCGCAGGGTAATGTCCTAGGCCCAACCATCTTAAGCTGCTTCATCGATGACTTTCCCTCCATTATAAGGTCAGAAGTGGGGATGTTCACCAATGATTGCACCATGTTCAGCACCTTTCATGACAACTCATACTGAAGCAGTCCATGTTCAAATGCAACAAGACCCAGGCATGGATTGACAAATGGCATGTAATATTTGTACCTTCCAGGGATTCTATGATTCTACTCACACAAATGCCAGCAATGACCATTTCCAATAAGAGACAATCTGACCACCGGCCCTTGACGTTCAATGATGTTACCATCATTGAATCCCCCTCTATCAACGTCATAAGGGTTACTATTAACCAGAAACTCAACTGGACTTGCCACAAAAACACCGTGGCTACAACAAGAGCAGGCCAGAGGAATATTGTGGCAAGTAACTTACCTCCTACTCTCCAAAAACTAATCGATCATCTATAAGTCACAAGTCAGGATTGCAATTGATACACCCCACTTTACTGGATGGGTGCAGGTCAACAACTCACAAGAAGCTTGACACCATCCAGGACAAAGCAGCCCACTTGATTGGCATCACACTCACAACCATCCAAGTGTGCACTATCTGCAAGATGCATCACAAAAATTCACCAAAGACCTTCGGGCAGCACCTTCCAAATCAGTTCCATCTGGAAGGACAAGGGCAGCAAGATGGAAATACTATCACCTGCTAGTTTTCCTTCAAAGTACTCACTGACTTGGAAATATATCACTATTCCTTTACTGTCACTGGGTCAAAATCTTGGAATTCCCTCCCTAAGGATATTATTAGTCAACCAAGAGCTTGTGGACTGCAGCAGTTCGAGAAGGCAGGTCACCAGCACCTTCTCAAGGGCAGTTAGGGGCGTGCAATAAATGCTGGCCACAGTGACGCCCACATCCTACAAATGAATAAAAGAAGATAAATTAAATAGTACTGTAATTACACAATCGTGACTAAAGCCAAAAGAAAAGCACAATTACAGTTAGTAACTGGTAATATAACTGGGAGGTGGTAAAGGAAGTCAGATTACAGAACAAATGGTCATCTCCTCCTCCTGTGCCTAGTAGAGCAATTCTAAAGCAGAAGGTGGAAGGTGTATAAAATAGAATCCTTATAGTGGAGATACAGGCCATTCAGTCCATTGAATCTGCACCAACCCTGTAGGCAGAAGTGAAACCTCTGTACGAGCTGACATTGAGGTCAACGACCAGAAGGGCTGGTATCAAGTAAGAAAATACAGGCTGCCAGAAAATTACTATGGATCACATATTTAATATACCAAAATTGATTACACTAAGACTTTCAGTCCTTCTGAAGGGCTGCTTGTTTCCCACGTGGAGTAAACATACAGCAAGACATTCACTTGTGTAGTGCAGTGGTTAGCCGGTATAGGAAACCTCAAATTCATGTTCAATCTCTTTCAAATTCACTTTTGGCATCTCCCCCTTTGTCAATTCCCTACTGTATCTTCATATAACTCACATTGCCTCTCTTGGAATGGATGTACCTATTCTGGGCCTTTTACTACAGCAGAATGTGACATAAAATGAGATGAATTGCTCAGATACAGTGTATAATTTTCCTCTGGTGAATTTAAAAGAACAAAGTTGTACCACAGATTGTTACTGCCAATTGCCAATTGCATGAAATGAATATTGTAGCTGACTGCAAAACATAGGGTTTAACTTGTTGTTTGCACACAAAATTATAAAACAGCATGACCTGCATGCTATCAACTGCAGCAAGAGAACAAGGAAAATGCACATCTATAAGTCAGGTTGAAAGGCTCCTGTAGACATGAGGAAACAATTCTGCACTGGAAGTCAGTTTCCAACACTGAAAGCAGTATAGAGCAGGGAAAGTGGCAGACAAAACTGTGCACTCAGCTAAAAGCACCTATGAATTTGGCTTTGTCTCAAACATTTACCAATGATCAGATATCGAAACTGAGCACCTCCCATCAACCCAAACCAATAAGTATTATTTCCCACCATTTGAATGATGGTGTACATTCTCCCTAGGATAGTAAAGTCCTTCCTATTGTGCTTCATGCTACTATTTTTTCATGCCATAACTCCACCCACTTATTGAGAGGCAGGGAACTAACCTAAATAGCTTTGCTGTGAGGAGTCATAGATTGCCAACCTTTTGAGCTGCTTCTCTATTCTGAAAATGCAAGTGTGACATAATATAATTCACTTCAATATATAAATATAATTTTTAGTGTGTACAAATGCCAACA